AAATATGTTAAAACAAGAGATTGAATGCGAAGCGGTGACAGTAAATGCATTCTTTAGTATTCCAGTTGATAAAGGGGATGACCTACCAAAGTTTGATTATTCAGATTTTCAATGTATAGTGTTTGATGAGATTTATGTGTCCAGTCCTTACATATTGAACAAAATAAGGGTGTTTGCAAATAACAATCCTGACATCGTAATTATAGGTGCCGGTGATGTCAAGCAACTGCCACCGATTGAACCTTTCACTAATACTCAAAATGCAGGCGAATACATTGACAAATGCATTGACATTATTTTTAAATATAGTATATTTTTAAAGATATGTAAGCGAGTAGGTGGTAAGGATACAGAAGAAGGAGAAAGAAACAGAAAGAAACTGTATGAAATCTATGATGACTTTTGGGTAAAAAAGATGGCAGTTGAAGAATGGATAGTTAAGCATTTCAAATTTACTAAAGATGTTATGAACAGCAGGAACAACATAGCATATACAAATATAAGATGCGAGGCAGTATCAAATGAGATTAGAAAAAGATTAGGTAAAACATGCAAATATGAAATTGGAGAAATCTTAATATGCAGACTTTACAAAAAGGACAAGGAAGGAAAACTGAATGTTAATATTAGGTGGAAGGTTGTTAATGACGAAGGATACAAGATAACAATACAAGATATTAAGGATGCAGAGAACATTAGAACACTTGACATTGATATTGTAGATAAGCATTTTAGATATGCCTACTGTGCTACCACTCATAGCAGACAGGGGACATCAATCAGTGATAATATGACCATTCACGAATGGAACAAAGATTATTTAGTTTGTAGGGAATGGTTGTGGACGAGTATCACACGAGCGAGGGATTTTAACAATGTCTATTTTTACAAGAACAAAGAGGGAGATGAAGATATGTTTAAGAGTTTGGGAATCAACTATTTTAAAAACAAAGTTGAAGGATATAAACAGCAAGATAGAGTAGCAAAAAGAGAAATAGACGAAGAGCAATACATTGACGAAAACTGGTGCTTAAAATACTTCAAATCCTGTTGCCAAAACTGCGGAATTAAATTTAATCTAGATACAAGAGGAGGAAAAATAAGTTCTAACTTCACTGCTCAACGTTGTGATAATGAGTTATGCCACACAGTTGAAAACTGCACCGCCTTTTGTGTCTATTGCAATTGCAGCGCGTCATGAATAATTTTGAAAATGAGTTTTTCAAAATTATTTTATTAACTTAATTAATGAGTTCAACACAAAATTATTAAGAGTGTATATTATGATAGAAGCGGTTATGGTTCAAAACAAACAACCCTCAAGGATGCTAAGCAAACAGATAGTAGTATTACAATAAACGATATTAATGCATTCTTCAGTAAGAATGTAGAAGAAAAAAGAAAGATGAGAGGTGAAAATAGTTTTATTGCTCCGCATAGTTTCTGGGAATTTCAAGTTGATCTGTTTTTCATTTCTAAAAATGATTTGGAAAATCAAACATTTAAAATTGGTATGATATGCATTGATATATTTAGCAAATATATGCATATCGTGCCAATTAAATCCAAGACACCGCCAGACATTTTAGCAGGAATGATGGAGAATATCAATAAGATGGGTGGCAAACCGAAATTAACTTATACCGACGAGGAAGGCAGTTTTTTTAATCAATCAGTATTAGATTATTTGAAGGAGGAGAAAATTGAATTACATAGAACTAGAGGTCATCCAGCATTTGCGGAGCGTGGAATTCAGACTTTTAAAGATCAACTGTTTAAACGAGTTGAAGCGGACAAGAAAAATGGAAAGCAGAATATCCAATGGACGGATTATATTTTTGAAATATTATTAACTTACAATAATAAGATGGTGCATTCTGCCACCCGCTTTGTTCCAGCACAGGCAAGATTAAAAAAGAATGAATTTGAGGTAAAAATGAATATTACAATGCAAGCAAGAAATACTAGAAAATACCCTGAGTTGTCAGTGGGTAGTAATGTAAAAATAATGAGGAAGAAAGGCATAAGCGAAAAGGCACATACCAGTCATTGGTTAAAAGAAGTATTTAAAGTAAAATCAATTGACAATAAATTAGGGCAATCTTACTTTCATTTGGAAGGAAAAACTAATCCTTATTTGAGACACGAATTATTAAAAGTTTAATATTAAACGAAATACAGTTAAAGAAAAAACGCCTTATAATATTAGTGAAATGTTGTTTAACTATAACAAGTGCGAATGCTGTAAATGCAAAATGAATGATTTGAGTTTAACCTTGCATCATATACTACCAGCAAATGTATGTAATAAAATAAGTGAATATAATGTATACTGCAATCAATGCTGTATAACAAGAGACCTTGAAAAGTTTTTTCTTGAAGAACATAAGGATAAGGGATATACAAAGTTTCAATTACAGTTAAAATTCTTTATGCGACACCAAGCAAGATTTCCTATACACTTTTACCAGAAGATTTCCAGAAAGTCATATGAAAATGAAATTGATGAATTCTTTAGTAATATAGATTTAATTAGGAGGTTTGGAGGAATAAACGCAATTAAACCATATAAAGCATTTGTCAAAAAATACCGTTATTTGTTTGAATGGATTGACTGGCATTTATTAGACAAAGATAAAATAAACGAAGTCTTGAACGAATTTAGAGTAACTGAATATAGTATATGGTATTACTACAACACTAAATATAAAGTATGTCTATTAGTGAATTTGTTTTCTGGGAATATGTTTATTCAATAATAGGAAAAGACAATATCAAATATATAGATGAAGATGATATAGGTAAATATGTAGATTACATATTTGAAGACATATTGCCTGACTATTATTTTAACCCATAAACCTTACAATAAAAAACATTGTAAGATTTATGATTTCAAAATGACTTGAAGAAATGATAACTTAATATATTATAGCGGAATGAGTGATACAGTCGGTATCAATGCTAAAAATATATTGAAACACAAGTTTATGAGTTATAAATGTAAAGACTGTGAAATGCTCAAATTACCAATTGAACGGGGTTTTGCAAATGGCGTTTGTAATAATATTTGTCAATATATGATATGCAATAATTGCAATAGAATTATAAAAAAAATTGATGATATGAATAACAAGGATATTGATATTATAAATAATGAAACTCTTGATGATGATTTAGAAATATTTGTGTTTATTGAAATGAATAATTTCTTAACTATAGAAGGGTTTGATAATTTATTAGAATGTGACGATGAAGGATATAATAATGAATGTATTTTTAAGTATTATTGTATGGTAAAAAGATTATACAATATGTCTTTTAATATTAAACGTTTAAAATACGTTGTATTGTTTGATTTTTTAAATGAGTTTTTAAATAATGAATATAGAATTGACGAACTTAGATATACAATAACACATGCAATTAGAACAATGGGGTTGTTTAGAACAAAAATAGGAAGTAATATTTATAATGAAACAACGTGTGATAAAATAATAGAAAGACTTAAAAAAGAATATTGTCCCGACATCAATTAAATTATTATCCTGAACTTAAATTATAAATTACACCATAAACCTTACAATAAAAAACATTGTAAGATTTATGTTGGGAAATTATGGGATTTTATATTTTGGGATTTTGGAAAAATATATTTTGGGAATTTGGGATTTTTAAGATGGTCTGGTCTTAAAGACATGCCACCTATCAATAGTAGCATGGAGATGACTGACAAAATGCAAAAATGTAGGCGATGCGAAAACACTTATCCACCTGACCTATTTAATGTTAGAGTGCATATTTGTGATTACTGCCGAGAACAAAGTAAAATTGATAGGAAGGAAAAGAAAAAGGAATATAATAAAGTGCGTAATCAGATTGAAATAGAATGTGATATTTGCCAGTGTAAAGTGAGGAAATCTGCAATATCCAAGCATTTGAAAACACAGAAGCATATTGAGAATGAGAATAAAGTAAAAACAACAGTTGAGGAAGAAAAACCTAATGAAATTGAAAATTCAAAACCTCCAGTGGCACCAGGGGTCAAAAAGGAAATGGAGGAAGTGAAGGACAAAGTTTTTCAAATTGTAGGTGAATTACCCTTTCTGGAAAATTATTTCATTTCAGCATATTCCGTGAGGAATTCTGCAATTATTCAAATTATGAAATAATATGATTTAAATTTTAACCATGAACTTTACAATAAGAATATTGTAAAATTTATGATTTATATTTCTTCGGAAAAATGATAATTTTGTAAAATAATATTTTTGAAAATTTAGAAAAATATTTGCAAAATTTATGTATCAAATCTTGAGTTGAGGTTCTGTTATGAAATGATGAAACAAATTATGTGAATTGGTCGGTTGAGGGGATTTTATCCAACTGGGGGGTCCCCTTAGGTAGGTGTTAGTGGGAGGGAGGGCAGAAGTTAGTTTCAACATGTGTTGTTGTTGTTTTTGCGGGCATTTGACAAATTGGGCTGAAGGCAACCTAAAGGAAAACCGCCCATTAACATCGGGAAGCATAGGACAAAGCTCAGTAACATTTCATTATATTCCGTCAAGGTGGGTGGAGTCCTGCATGCACTCGCCCCCCCCCCTTGGTTGAGAGTCGCACCTCGGCACCAACGCTTCCCGGATGGACAAGCCAACCCTAAGCCAGCTCACAAAGTTTGGGCAACTGGCTATGATACCCTCGAGCAATAGTCAGAGGGCATCTCGCTTTGGTATCATCAAGCAGCAGGATGCCGGTTGACCTACGCCGCAGTTCACCTTCCACATTTGTCTTGAATTATCGATTCACCCCATGTTTGGGCAGTACTCAAAACACCGCTTGGCCATTTCACAAGGGGTTTTACTCTAGGGAGTACGGCGAGGCCCTACACAAGTACGTTTGTGCTTGGCAGAGCCAAGAAGCAGACGGTGATGCTTGGATCACTCGAAAGACAATTGGTTGGACCCCGGTTGTGCCGGCCGAGTCCGACCGATGTGATTGAGGTGCAGTGGCCTGGAGGCCCTGGCTACGACGCGCCCCTCATGGAGGAGGAAGGTGCAATCACGGACTTCTTTCAAGGGACCGGAGATCCAAGAGTGGGTTTCAACATGTTAGGTAGTTTTTGACCAGAACCTTCCAATGGTGCCTGAGGCAACTGCAAACTCCTTGTGTTCGGAGTTAAACAAAAAATGAGCTCCCCTTCCCAATCAAAGTTCCGACCCATTTGAAGATCTGCCATTTGGAAGCTCCACCTGCGCTCAGCATAGGCAGAAACCATTCATATTCATCGGCCATACTGATGCGTCTCGGCTCAGCATCTGCAGCCTGCCAAATTCTTCATATGGATTTTGCCAACCAGTGATGGTTCGGAGGTGGTGACTTGGCAGACATGGCACCTAGCACGTTTCCATGATATGTGCTCTGTGTGCTGCGTGAACTCACTTCACAGAGGCTTAGAATGGGCACTGTGTCCAAAACAATTAGTCATTGATTGCACACGGCACAAGACAGAGAAGATTCTGGAGTATGACACTTCCGGGCGAGTGGCAGGAGCTCACCCATCATGAAGATCCCTCACTTGCAAAGGCTGACTGTATAGATCCACATAGGAACCCAGGGCCATTTTGGACCCTTTGAGGGCTGATTTCCCACATGCGGCCAAAACCAACGGTGAATTAACCAGTAACTAGGGGTTCATACCAGGGGTCCACATGTGGGCACACACATTCAGCCTTTGACACTCATGTGTAGGCATGTTGGCTGGTTTCACATTGGCAGCACCATACCCACATTGGGTCCATATCTGTGGCACAGCCACATCATCATGTTCATTTCGGTGTGAAATTTAACCGGCGATGAACCACTTTTTCGGGGGGTTTGTTATGAAAGCTCATAGCCATGTAAAATGTGTGGCCGAGGGATACTAGATCAAGTCAGAGTCAAAAGACCATGTCAGGTAGTGTGTCAGGAAACGACTAGAGGCGGGTCGGGAAACAACTAGAGGCATGTCAGGAAACCCAGTGGTAGCTATTTTAGACAACAAACTCCCACACGAGATAGGAAACAGGATGTTTGAGTCAGGAAACGCCTTGTGGCACATACCGACAGGGTGAGATTGGGGTTGGTATGGGTTTGTTTGGGCTTCGTTTAGTTGATTTAGGTTGGGTTCAAGGGTTGGTTTACGTTCGGTTTAGGTGTTTGCCTTTGTTTTGCCTGGTGTAGAAGTTGTTTGCTTCGGTTTCTGCTTGGTTTAGTGTGGGGTTCAGTTAGGTTTAATTTGGATTGGATTCATGTTGTTTTAAAACTGATGTATACTTGGAGTGGCTGGGTTTAGGGCAACTTTATGCTTGGTGTGCAGTGAGTTTTGGGTTTCTTTTGGCTTGTTGACAGTGGGTTTAGGTATGGTTGCGGTTCGCTCGTACTTGGTTGTGTGGCTACGGTGTTTCCAGACTCGCCGATTCCCCTGCCTTCAAACTGTTGTCCTTAGGCAACCCTCCAACAATATGTGTCCACAACGTGTTCTGACTCACTTATATAACTTTATTCCCCTGACTCCAAACTCTTTCCTCAGGAAACAACCTTGGTCCATCCAACAATCTCTTTGCACGATGTTTCCTGACTCACTTAACCTTGTTCCCCTGCCTCCACACCTCCGACAACCCTAGTCCCTCCAACAATATGTGTCCACTACTTTTCCTCACTTACCAAAATTTGGATGCCTTAGACCCAGTGTTTGTTGACACTTCCTCCTTTCCTGACTTGAGCAAACTTGTTTTCTGAATTGGCCCCACTCGTTTCCTGACTCGCCCCCTTACCAGCCCCCCTCACCCGTGGCCCTAGGCTATGTTTCGCGCTGCTGGGTGAAGTGCTGGCGATTAGAGAAGAAAGCGAGGCGCGGCGCCAAGAGAGAGCTGGGAGTGGGTTGGCGGTCTCAAATCAGCACTGGCCTTGTATTCTTTTTGACCCTTGTATTTCTGAAGGGCCAACATGCAATCGAAACAGCTTCCTGGGAGGGCCTTTCTTGACAGCCTCAATGCCCCCCCAATAGCTTCGCTGGAGGGTCAAACATAATTGGGCAGCTGCATTGGAATTTGCAGTAGGGCGAGGACTTGGGAAAGTAGAGTAGCTTTGAACGAGCAGGAGCTACCAGCCAGAATCACAGACCCGAGGGAAGGCCGAGGAAGGCCAATTTCCTCTTTGATTTGCCGCGTGTGGCAGGAAGGGGGAAAGTCACTCCCATTTGCTCAATATGGTCACTCACTCCCATGCCGAAATGGGGACAGCTCTAGTGAGAGGTTCTTTACAACCGGGGCAGGTGCAGTACGTTCCAAAGTGCCGCCCTAGCCAAAGGTTGAGGTGTTTGGATGATACACCAGCCGGTTTCTGTTTCGGTACGAGACAGGGGGGGCATATCTGTGACACTGTTTGGCAAGCCTTAATGTATATTCCTGTCCCGTTGCAACAGGACCTCTTTGATCGTCTAAGCTTTGAAAGCCCCGAGCCGAAGCTTTGGCGCCTCGGGCCGAAGCCTAGGCGACTCGCGGCCTCAAGGTGAAGCCAGCCGCGGCCGGCTCAGCAAACAGCGACGCTGGCGACTGACATCCCCATGATAGAAACTTCTTTCATATGAGACCTTACCTTTAAAAGCCTTTTCGTATGTGTGTCTTCAATTTACCCCAGAGATCAACACCGGCCCTCCAAGTGGTTGGCGTGAATCGTGAGAGGTATAAAGCAGATGGCAACCCAGGTTTTGACACTGGTTGGACAGACTTTGCACATCTTCCTGGTAGTTGATGGGGAATATTTAATTTGGGGGCCTGCGAAGAAGGGACCAAAGTCGCCCTTTTTCCTTGGGGGCGTGGGGTCAACGCCAGAAATTTTGCAGGCGAGAGAGAATGAGACCGCCTACGTGTACGAGAAATTTGACAAATTTCAGCTGCACGCAGCATTGAACAATTTCGTGTGACTTGGCTCAATCGGTCTTTGAAGGCCCCTGATACATTCGGGATCACGATGCTTTCCAGGGACCTCATAGACGCCCTGTGCTAGCACGGTGTGGGAATTGGGCAAACCGATCGCCCGTGAAGTGCCAAACATAGAAATAGCACTCCCAACGTGCCTTTGGAAAATCGCATCCCAACACTCCGAGAAGCCAAGCTCCAGTTTGTGAGATCCCCTCCTTCGAAGCGATCGAAGGTCAATGCCGGTGGAGCTCTGCGGAAGCCGATTGAAAGCCGTGGAACCGGTGGACGATGCGTTGGAGCATCAGATGCCTGCAAACAAATTAGCCGGACTTTTTTTGTTTAGTTCTGTCGGGGGAGTTGGTTTGCTGACGGTTTTGCTAGCCCCTACGATTGAGGCACGCACTTTGGGGCTGGCCGAAGTTCTACAAAGACAGTTTGTTTTTTGTTTTTGTTTTTTTTAACGAAGCACACTAGCCTATTCTCTCACCCTCAGTGTCTCAGGATTCGGACCAATCCGGGCAAATTCTTTGTGCCGCTGAGCAGCAAGGACAACGACGGGAATTCCATCAAGGCACGGTGAGGCTAAGGGTGAATCAACCGGAATGAGCCACCTGCAGCAACCGAATTGACGTTCCAGTCCCACCTTTCTGGATTTTCTGGTGTCCGCCAGGCGGTCTATGCCGCTGGTGTGGGATGGCGGGAGCTCGGAAGCGGTGAACGTCACTTTCGACCGGGATATCGGCGACCCCTTAAAGAGTCCCTTTGAAAGGATACGATGGTGTTTGCTAGGGTATTTTGCCTGCGAGGGTTGTTTGGATCTCCGGTGCGAAGATCATGTTTGGCAGTGGGAAATGCAAAGCACTAAACGTGCCTTTTGATTTTGATGATGTCAGGCGGAAACAAGCCGTTTGGTGCACAGCTTCAAGCGAGTTGGGAGTTAGGAGTTGGGGTGTTGGCTTGAAGCAAGTCGATTTGCTATAACAAAAAAGCCTGCGGGCAAGCTGAGATGTTTTGGCATTTCCCGCAAGCTTTTTGAGGCTCGCCTGGTCATGTGCAGTTCCGCAGGCCCTTTTAATCTTGAGGCGGTCTCTGGCCGCTCGCTGAGCGGAATCCAGTCGAATTGGGCCAGCATCATTTCTCCATATCCTCCCGTCATAGAGGCAATGACATGGACGACTTGGATTTTAAGCACGGTACATGGCAGGCCTTGTTTTGGACAACGTTGGGCTCAAGCTCAACACCATGGAGCTAGACTTTGCAGTGAAAAGTTGCTCGTTCCAAACCATTCGAACAGCGCCCATCTTTTGACTTGAAGGCTGATCGGCTCCTGGCCTAGTTTGGAACAGCTTCGCCGGCAGGAGCGACCCGGCCGCAAGGCAGTGCTGGGAAGGCTGCTGCAGGCTGGGATGCTTTTGAGTTACTGACTTGTTTACACATCGCTTGAATTGGTCCTATAGTGTGTTAAAGTATTGGCCATGTCAAATCAGCCTGCTGCCGCGGTCTGTCAACAGACGGATGTTGTTGTGAGTCTTGGCAGACATCTCGACACAGGTGGGCAAAGTCTTCGTCCCACACTACACGAAGCTTGGCTGGATGCGGATGTTGGGTCCCCAGATTCACCTGAAGCAAATCCGAGGAAAGTGGAGGATCTGGCTGTGCCGGACTCAGCTCCAAAAGGGTGGGATTTCTGTGAATGACGAGGGCCAATCGTTTTTTGGTTGCTTTCAGCAGGTGTGCGCTGTGGGTCAGCCCCCTCAATATTCCATTGGTGAAATCTGGGGGGTTCATTTGAAAGGAACCCTCAACAGGCCGAAAACCCATCTATGTACGTCCCTGGCATGTCCATATTTGGCTAAAAGGACACTTAGTGATGCCATTTACTACCAAAGGAGGATGCCTGGCTCTTCTCGGTGTATAATTTGCCCTGGTTACAACTGTTGCCTGGAAGCAGTGGCACAACGTTTGGTATGTGTTCGAGTTGGGGACAAAGTGTTGGTTGCAGCAGAATCGGAATCTGAGTTTCGCACGAAGCCTTTCTTGAACATTCTCCTGCACTGAGCCAACGCTCGGCATCTCACATGTTTTCGCCCTAATTGATCATAGAAAAGGCTTTGCTTCTCATCGGCCATGTCCATCTCCTGATCTTATCCTTTCAAATCGGCCTTGTCGTTCTTTCGACTCGAGTCGAGGGCCACCTTCTGCACCGAACTGGCAAGATCCGCACCCTGACCTTTGCCCCTGGGCTCCGAAACGGGGGCAAAGGCAAGCGGGGAGTCGTCCCTTTGGGGGCACGTCAGTGCGAAGATAGGGCGGTTTAAGCTTTACTGCGCGATACGCATGCTCATTATTTAAGGGCTGCCGCCCAGTGCCGCCGACCCCAGTTTGCGGTCAGGGAGCTCTTCAGACGGACAAATGTCAGCACAAAAAATCGTGTATGTATGTATGTATGTATGCATGTATGCATGTATGCATGCATGTATGTATGCATGTATGCATGTTTGTATGTTTGTATGTATGCATGCATGTATGTGTGTATGTAATGTATGTATGTATGTATGTATGTATGTATGTATGTATGTATGTATGTATGTATGTATGTATGTATGTATGTATGTATGTATGTATGTATGTATGTATGTATGTATGTATGTATGTATGTATGTATGTATGTATGTATGTATGTATGTATGTATGTATGTATGTATGTATGTATGTATGTATGTATGTATGTATGTATGTATGTATGTATGTATGTATGTATGTATGTATGTATGTATGTATGTATGTATGTATGTATGTATGTATGTATGTATGTATGTATGTATGTATGTATGTAATGTATGTATGTATGTATGTATGTATGTATGTATGTATGTATGTATGTATGTATGTATGTATGTATGTATGTATGTATGTATGTATGTATGTATGTATGTATGTATGTATGTATGTATGTATGTATGTATGTATGTATGTATGTATGTATGTATGTATGTATGTATGTATGTATGTATGTATGTATGTATGTATGTATGTATGTATGTATGTATGTATGTATGTATGTATGTATGTATGTATGTATGTATGTATGTATGTATGTATGTATGTATGTATGTATGTATGTATGTATGTATGTATGTATGTATGTATGTATGTATGTATGTATGTATGTAATGTAATGTAATGTAATGTAATGTAATGTAATGTAATGTAATGTAATGTAATGTAATGTAATGTAATGTAATGTAATGTAATGTAATGTAATGTAATGTATGTATGTAATGTAATGTAATGTAATGTGTATGTATGTATGTATGTATGTATGTATGTAATGTATGTATGTATGTATGTATGTATGTATGTATGTATGTATGTATGTATGTATGTATGTATGTATGTATGTATGTATGTATGTATGTATGTATGTATGTACATGTATGTATGCATGCATGTACGCATGTATGCATTTTCGGGCTGTGGCTTTGGTACAGTCTCCGGGCTGTATCTGCCACAGCTTTCGGGCTGTGGCTGCCACAGCCTTCGGGCTGTGGCTTTGGTACAGTCTTCGGGCTGTATCTGCCACAGCTTTCGGGCTGTGGCTGCCACAGCCTTCGGGCTGTGGCTTTGGTACAGTCTTCGGGCTGTATCTGCCACAGCTTTCGGGCTGTGGCTGCCACAGCCTTCGGGCTGTGGCTTTGGTACAGTCTTCGGGCTGTATCTGCCACAGCTTTCGGGCTGTGGCTGCCACAGCCTTCGGGCTGTGGCTTTGGTACAGTCTTCGGGCTGTATCTGCCACAGCTTTCGGGCTGTGGCTGCCACAGCCTTCGGGCTGTGGCTTTGGTACAGTCTTCGGGCTGTATCTGCCACAGCTTTCGGGCTGTGGCTGCCACAGCCTTCGGGCTGTGGCTTTGGTACAGTCTTCGGGCTGTATCTGCCACAGCTTTCGGGCTGTGGCTGCCACAGCCTTCGGGCTGTGGCTTTGGTACAGTCTTCGGGCTGTATCTGCCACAGCTTTCGGGCTGTGGCTGCCACAGCCTTCGGGCTGTGGCTTTGGTACAGTCTTCGGGCTGTATCTGCCACAGCTTTCGGGCTGTGGCTGCCACAGCCTTCGGGCTGTGGCTTTGGTACAGTCTTCGGGCTGTATCTGCCACAGCTTTCGGGCTGTGGCTGCCACAGCCTTCGGGCTGTGGCTTTGGTACAGTCTTCGGGCTGTATCTGCCACAGCTTTCGGGCTGTGGCTGCCACAGCCTTCGGGCTGTGGCTTTGGTACAGTCTTCGGGCTGTATCTGCCACAGCTTTCGGGCTGTGGCTGCCACAGCCTTCGGGCTGTGGCTTTGGTACAGTCTTCGGGCTGTATCTGCCACAGCTTTCGGGCTGTGGCTGCCACAGCCTTCGGGCTGTGGCTTTGGTACAGTCTTCGGGCTGTATCCGCCACAGCTTTCGGGCTGTGGCTGCCACAGCCTTCGGGCTGTGGCTTTGGTACAGTCGTCGGGCTGTAGCCGCCACAGCTTTCGGGCTGTGGCTGCCACAGCCTTCGGGCTGTGGCATACACGTTTCAAGTGTGCCGTTAGACCCTACTGGAAATGCAGAGGATGTGTTGTCATGATTGTCATGATAACTGCTGCTGATGCTGGGGATGTGATGAACGTGAAAATGATGATGATGATGATGATGATGATGATGATGATGATGATGATGATGATGATGATGATGATGACGTTGATGACGTTGATGATGATGATGATGATGATGATGATGATGAACATGATGAACATGATGATGATGATGCACATGAGGATGAGGATGAAAATGATCATGATGATGATGATGAACATGATCATGAAAATGATGATGATCAACATGATGATGATGAACATGATGATGATGATGAACATGATGATGATGATGATGATGATGAAAATGATAATGATGATGACGATGACGATGATGAATAATCATCACTACGCATCCTCATGATGAACATGATAAGTAAGCGATCATGTTCCTCATCATGTTCGTCCTGTTAGACCCGACTGGAAATGTAGAAGATGCGTTGTCATGATTGTCATGATGACTGCTGCTGATGATGATGAAAAGGAAAATGATGATGATCATGATGATGAAAATGATGATTATGATGATGGAGTAGTGGTGTGTTGATCAAACGGGTACAAATTCAAGCAACAAGTATGATGAACATGATGTTGAAAATGATGACGGCGCTCTTCTGACCCGACTGGAAATGCAGAGGTCATGACAACTGCTGCTGATGCTGGGGATGATGCTAACTGCTGGTGATGCTGAGGATGTGCAGTGATAGGATGATGATGATGATGATGAACATAATGAGGAACATGATGACGAAAATGATGATGGTGATGATGATGATGATGAACATGAAGAAAATGATCATGATGGACACGATGATGAAAATAATGAGGAACATGATGATGAAAATGATGATGGTGATGATGATGATGATGATGAACATGATGAAAATGATCATGATGGACATGATGATGAAAGTGATGATGTTCATCATCATCATCATCGTCATCATATTCATCATCATCATCTTCGTGTTCATCATCGGCATCAGCATTTGCATCATCATGTTCCTCATCATGTTTATCATCATCATCCCGATGCGCATCCTCATGATGAACATGACAAGAAAGCAGGATAATGTTCCTTATCATGTTCATCATCAAAACCGTGGCGCTCTTCTTTTTTATATACGTTTCAAGTGTCCCGTTAGACCCGACTGGAAATGCAGAAGATGCGTTGTCATGATTGTCATGGTAACTGCTGCAGATGCTGGGGATGTGATGAACGTGAAAATGATGATGATGACGCTGATGATGATGGTGATGTTCATCATCATCGTCATCATCATCATCATGATCATCATCATGTTCATCATCATTTTCATCATCATCATGTTCATCATCATTTTCATCATCATGTTCATCATCATCATCAGGTTCATCATCATCATGTTCATCATCATTCTCATCATCATGTTCCTCATCATGTGGCGCTCTTCTTTTTCATGTACATTTCAACTGTGCCGTTAGACCTTCTAACGGGACACTTGAAACGTATATAAAAAATGATAAGGACGATGACGAAGAAGATGATGATGACGAGCACCGTGATGATGATGCTGATGATGATGATGATGAACTGACACGATAATCATCATGACGCATCCTCAGCATCACCAGCAGTCATCATGATAATCATGTCCGCGCACCTTCTGCATCTCAAATCGGGTCTAACGGGACACTTGAAACGTATATAAAAAAGATAAGGACGATGACGAAGAAGATGATGATGATGAGCACCGTGATGACGATGCTGGTTATGATGATGATGAACTGACATGACAATCATCATGACGCATCCTCAGCATCACCAGCAGTCATCATGATAATCATGTCCTCGCATCTTCTGCGTCTCAAATTGGGTCTAACGGGACACTTGAAACGTATATAGAAAAATAAGATGAGGACGATGACGAAGAACCTGATGATGATGAGCACCGTGATGATGATGATGATGATGATGATGATGATGCTCAGCATCAGCAGTCATCATGATAATCATGTCCACGCATCTTCTGCATCTCAAATCGGGTCTAACGGAACAATTGAAACGTATATAATCAGATTTAAGGACGATGACGAAGAAGATGATGATGATAAGCACCGTGATGATGCTGATGATGATGATGATGATGAACTGACATGGTAATCATGATGACGCATCCTCAGCATCACCAGCAGTCATCATGATAATCATGTCCGCGCACCTTCTGCATCTCAAATCGGGTCTAACGGGACACTTGAAACGAATATAAAAAAGATAAGGACGATGACGAAGAAGATGATGATGATGAGCACCGTGATGACGATGCTGGTTATGATGATGATGAACTGACATGACAATCATCATGACGCATCCTCAGCATCACCAGCAGTCATCATGATAATCATGTCCTCGCATCTTCTGCGTCTCAAATTGGGTCTAACGGGACACTTGAAACGTATATAGAAAATAAGATGAGGACGATGACGAAGAACCTGATGATGATGAGCACCGTGATGATGATGATGATGATGATGATGATGATGCTCAGCATCAGCAGTCATCATGATAATCATGTCCACGCATCTTCTGCATCTCAAATCGGGTCTAGCGGGACACTTGAAACGTATATAAAAAGATAAGG